GGAAGGCTGAACTGACCTTGATCTGGCTAACTGAACCCATTAGGATAGAACACAGGTCATGAGTAGAGTGTTTACTGCAGTACTGCAGTTTAACCAATGCGCCACAAGATGTTTAAATAAACATAAATTATAGCAGGGCTTTCTGAAAATTAACTTTTCTGGTCATTGCCTGCACAATCCTCCCCGAAAGAGTCCTATAAGCGTCCTTTACTTATCTCCCCCCTTGACTGGACAACCTATTACTCTAAAATATTCTCCTCCCAAGATCCAGCCCCAACATTAAGGAACCTTCCCTCTGATCTCCTCCCCTGGCCACCAGTTTCCAGGGATGAGGTTATAAAGCTTATCCACCCTCTGAAATGTGGGAAATCCCCTGGTCCAGATGGGATTTCCAATGATCTCCTAATTAATAATGCCCAATGGTGGGCTGACCTCCTAGCTAATCTGTTCACCCTAATTGACGAGCATGGGATAATCCCAGAACACTGGCTCACCTCTATTTTAGTTCCTAAAATAATCCGGGTAATTATAGACCAATAAGCTTGTTCTTGGCAATTGGAAAGCTGTACAGTAAGGATCTTTTAGCTCACCTTGCTACTTGGTCTTCTTCTGTGAACCTTCCAGGATATGAGCAAATTGGCTTTCATTCGGGTTGCTCAACATTAGATCATATACTAACTCTTTCGTTTTTAGCAGAGAAGTATACACACCAATTCAAGGGAAACCTGTATGTGGCTTTTATTGATTTGAAAGTTGCCTTTGACTTTGTTAACAGACTTATTTTGTGGGAAAAGTTAGCCGCATGGGAAATTCCCCCATGTCTACTTTTCTTAATTCGTAAATTACATTTTGCCAACTCTTGCCAAGTTCGCTATGATTGCTGCAGCTCTGTCACTCCAGTCACCAGAGGAGTGAGGCAGGGCTGTATTTTAGCCCCATTTTTATTTAATCTTTTTTTTTTTAGCAGATTTAAGCCCTCAGTTGTCACCAGCTGAAAAGTCTGCCCCGTTTTTAAATAAGGCGTCAGTACCCCTTCTATTATACGTGGATGATGCCATCCTTCTTTCTATATCTAGCTCAGGCTTAAGACAACTTCTCTTCTTGTTTCAATCATATTGTTCTTGCAACGATCTTGTTATTAATGCGGAGAAAACCAAAATTATGGTCTTCTCAAAATCTT